TTTCGGATTCGGTTGAAACTGAACAGTTCCCTCATTCGACTCGTAGAGGATCGTCAGTTAAACTCGAACATGTAGAGAGTGTTGCGTTATTCCGTTTTGAAGGAACTTTATTTGTGCTAATCAGCAGTGTGCGGCATCAGCGGCATGTTTCTTGTAACTTGCGATGCGAGTTAGGTCACGCATAATATACTTTTATGTACCGCGGAATCAGACACTCCCAGAAAATACATACAGAAACAGTATAACATGGAAAAAATAGCTTTACCAATAATTCAGCACGGTTTGACCATGTTAAGGGAGAGCTTCATTATTAACCAAAAAATTGATTTTATGTCTTTTAACGATAAACAATTTTAAAATAAAACTATAAAGCTCCGTATTTTTGCACCCCTCAAAAATTCAGCGCTGAAGGTATAAGAATGAGGGGTTTGCAAAAGGTCCTGTTACCACCCTTTCACTGGGCGCCCCCTTCGTGCAGAAAAAAAAATATACTTTACTTAATTAAAGTACCTAAATACTTCACACTGCAACGTTGTAAATTCTCCGCTCATTATCCTCCGAAAGTCGCTGATCCCAAAGGGTTCCATTTTACAATGTTGCAGCTTTCCTTCCCGGGGTGTTTATCATCTTTATAGCTTGATTCAGCCTGGGTTAACCAAACCCCCGAGTACTCATAACCCGCAAAGAGAAAAAAAATATCGGGCATACAAACCTCATAGTTCAGTAGACCCTTGTTCAGCTTACAAAACTGAGCCTTTAGTCGAGAGAATTGAGCGCTTCAGTTAACAGAACTGAACTACAGTGCAGTGAACTAGAGGTTCAGTTCACCGGACTGAAAAACTTCCGTTCACATCGAGCATGTTTCGTACCAACCGGAGGGTTCTAAGTTATGTGAGCTGAAGCGGATAGTTCGCTTGACTGAAGGCTCAGCTCAGTCCTTTGTAATGAAAAACGATAAGTCGATTCGTATAGCTGAAGTTTTATTTCCTCGTATAGATGTACTGACCATCCTCCAACTCAATGCTTTTCTGCTGATTTCCTGATATTAGTATTCCTCCGAGTTAGACATCGATGGCCAAAGTGCGAGACCACGTATCTCTGTTTGCGACGTTGCAGACTTTCTGTCATAATTTAATTTTTCTTTAGATAACTATTTAGCATAATGTTTTGAAAATTCCTTGATTTTTCTTCACTGATAGCAAAATATTTTGTATGAATTCCAAATTATTTAGTTGGCTTGATTCTCTTCGAAAAAATAAAATTGGAGCGAAAATTTTGAAACATTGCGACGGAGGCACGTGGTTTCGCATTTCGCCCATCATCGGTCCACTGACTTCTACATACCATTCCATCCTTTTCTATTAATTTATCTTACCTCGCTGTTTTTATATTTATATTATTTATTATCAATTTAATTTTTTTTATTCTCTATTTTATATATATCTTGATTTTTTCTTTTGAAAAAAAAAAGAAAAAAAGTTTTACTCACTCCAACAGCGCAAAAAGCGTGCACCCAGTTCATGGAGCAAGCGTGAATTTCTGTGCCAGATTTCTTCAAGCAACCTACATTCAGTGGAACTGAATGCAGGAATTTTGCATTTCTTAAGGGAACTTGGCAACGGTAAGAGTGTGCGGGATGCTGGCCGCTGAGCCCAGCTTATTATGAATCAGACAATAGCTTATTGTTCTCGTGTAAATAATGCCAAAAGTATTAGCCAGATCTACTAAAAAACGCGCGGCCTGGCCCATGAAACATTGGACTATTGTTGTAATTGGCGTCGTTTTCTGCAACACAAGATTCGATTGTGCCGACGATGGGACATTTTCTCCTTTTTTTCCGAAAGGGGAGGGAGGGTGTCAGGCCAAAGCTGATTGGGACCATTGTGCAGAGAAGAAATTTGTAAAAATTATTTTTTTGCAAAGCAAAATGTTTTTGTTATAAATTCAACGTGACTGAGCAAGCTGTATTCATTGTTTTTCGTCGCTCCTTTGATTCTGAAGTCTGCCTTGAAGACACCGTTGTTTTCATTTTTTCTTTTTTTCCCCTCCCTCTGAATTGATGCTGCTTTGGGAACACCGGAACTTAAGTCTTCTCAAAATAATAGAATCTAAATGAGGTGACTCGGCAATAATTGTGATAATAGATAATTTATTGGGCATTAATTAAAATTGATTTTGACGTCAATATTGACGCGAAGTTATTGGAGTACGGTGGGTTCAGAGATGAGGCTATCTGCGACACTCTACATGGTGGAGGGGGGGTGGTGGTGGTGTAAGGCACACCTTTTGTTTCCATGTCTTTCTCTCCGACATCCGCTTTGAGTACATATCTGGACGTACTTAAATCAAAAGAAGAAATCTACTCTTTTTAAGTTACGACTAAAAACAGTAAAAACAGTGATAGTTGTCACTTAAACATTTTTGACACTAATTTAGATAAACTCACGCCCACTACTATTTTTAATTGGACGCGTTTCGGCGGCTGCCTGGGCCACCTTCATCAGCTGACTACTTTTTTAAATCTACTATTTAACATCAAAACGTCTCTTACAAAACAATTTACTCATTGAGGTTTTAAATTATCAAAATTATAATTACAAGTATCAATTATCAAATTATGAATACAACAGAAAATTGATATCATGCAATGATCACCACGTAAAATTTATTTATATTTTATTAATTAAAAGACTCTTCCCACATCACACTTGCATTTAACAATGCAAAAAACTCGAGCCGTCTGACATAAGTTGTTGCGCCTTCAATTTCATTTGATACTGTGCAATACCTCTGCGTCGAAATAGTTGCTTGAAGCGCCGTGAACAAACCAACGCGCAACGCAAGCTCCTATATCGAAGAGAGACGCATGTATATACGTCCAGCAATCGTCTATTTGATGTTCGCCCTCAATTTTGTCGCGTATGCAACAAACATACCCGAAAGTTATCTTTTCGAAGAGCGCAGAAATTATACCACTCCATGGACTTTGATTAACGACGATGGAACGACGATGGACGATTGGATGAACGACGTTGTGAACCCCAATCGATGTATATCTTCCTTGGTGTACTGCTTCACTTATTATCTTACTGCTGGCATCATGCGTCTCCTTTGAAGTTTTGTTCTTAATTCGCGTAAGCAATAATAATTCACACAAACCAACAAAATCGAGATAAGCACCGCTTGCGTAAATTACGAAATACTAATGTTTAGTTATCACTTTTACTTTGTTTTCTTGGACGAATTTATTCCACTGAATTAGTGGTTCAATTTTTGGTAGCAAGCACAATGAATATTATTTTAAGAACTTTGAAGTGACAATCATTATAATCGAAAATTGATGAAATGCGGCCAATAAAATGAGAGAACTTGAGAATTGTCTTACTATCTTGTTTTCTTCGATTTTCCATTTGATTTTTAATAGATAAACAGAATTTTTCAGTAAGTAATGCTGTTTATACTTAAAATACCGCACAAATAGTGATCTAAAAGTATGAACCTCTGCTAACTTTTTGAACAATTTCAAGTGTAGATATTGTAGCTTTTTATGGCAACCCTATGCATTGTTCAGAGGATAGCAAAACATGGTGAATTATCAGTGAAAATTTCAGTAAGATATATGACAAGTCGCCGTCTATAGAAAGATATAGGCCGATTTGTTGACTAGATCATCTGTGCCATAAAAAATTCGTATTGGGAGAACTAAAGGGTTTATATAAGATGATCGAGTCCCCGAGTAATTACAATTTTCAATTCAAACATTTTTTCGTGGGTTCTCCTTAGGACCCCATTTTAGCTTGCCTCTCCTCACAGAACGCATATTAGAGTCCCTTTATACCCAGAGTTAGGACAACTCGATTATCAGCTGACTGGCAGCCGGCCTTGGCTGGCCATGGAGGCCGAAACGAGTGCACCCAAACGAACGATATTGGGGGATAAGGATCAGGAATCCTGCGATGTCTGTCACACAAAAACAATAACATCAACAAATTGATCAGTTAAAAAGAAAATGAGATTGGTTTGTAAATAATTTCTTCATCTATTTTCATTTTGGACCAATGGAAATAACACTTTACTCTTGATAAACCACAATTAGGTAATATTTTCATTATTCTTGTTCACATTCGAGGTACCGCCATCTTGGTGCACTCGTTTCGGCCTCCATGAGCGAGAACCAATCAAAATTGGATTTTTTTTTAGGCCACTTTCAGCCCAACCAAAAGTGAGTTGTCTTAACTCTGGGTATAAAGGGACTCTAGCTTATATCGATTTCGCGCCAACGGAAGAAAATGCACCAATTCGGCACCCGGCTCGGACGTTGAAAGTATGTGCTTACGATAGCGGATGACGACTTTTAATCGATTTTTTGGCCCAAAAATCGATTAAATCTGATAGATTTTTGTAGGTTGATTTAAGGTCTGAATCGATTTTTCGAGCCGAAATCAAATAATTGAAAAAATCGAAATTGCATACGTTTATATGTCACACCAGGCCTAACTTCTGTAAAACCGGAGTTTCATTTCAAGTTCAGTTATAGCAGTATTCGTCAGTGGCGTGGCGTGAATTGCGATATATCGATTGTTATGCCATATAAACCTATGGAAAAAGATCGATAAACAGAGTGTTCGCAGCGAACACCTTGATAATCGATTCTTTACCATAGGTCTAAATGGCAGATCAATCGATAAATCGCAAAAGACGCCACGCCACTGGTATTCGTGCTCTTAGCGCCGAACTTGGGTTTTCAATAATTTTAAAATCGATTCCGAAAAAAAAATGATTTTGTCCGAATTCTAATTTTATCATCCGATTTTTAAATCGCCTCGACTGCCTCGAACGTTGAATCGATTTATTCGAAAAAATCGTTATCCCTGATTACTGTGCGGAATCAGCCTCCGAGTACTGTTGCACTGGAGGACGGCCAGAGAGCGCTGCGCACGCTCCACATGCGACGAAGAGGCGGAAAATCAACCGCATGCCGCCACCACAATCAGTGTTGAGTGAACATCGCGCGGTGTTGTCCGTGCCCGTGTGTGATCTCGAACCGAAACGTGTCATCGTGAACATGTAGTGCAATAACGTCATTCTCACCCTTAATCTAAGGGTTCTCCATCGATATAAACTATTAAGCAGTGCCATCTATAATCAGTGTCATCTCATCGTTTAACTCGTAACAATTTTGAGGAATTTTTCGCAGCGATCCTCTCGATGTTCAGCGGCGAGAATTTCGAAGGGCCGTGATTTTCAATTTGTTCTATTGGCTTAGAATGTGTTCATAATGCCACCTCCGGGTGGTAACTCAGTACTAATGGCTCCGTACAAACGAAATAAGTGTAAAAATGTTTCGACCAGAGATTTGAATTTCAACTCGTTGCGTTCCGCGGTGCGGTTGTGCGGGTGTATTAATTCTGCGAGTGTCAAAAAGTGTGTTTTGCTTGTTTTGTGTGTTCTGCAACTAGTCAGCCACATCCAAGGGAGTATCATGGGTGAAGAATGCGATTGGAGCGGAAGGTATTGACACATTTTAATGCATGCACTTCTTATTATCGGATTTAAAGGTGTCGGCGTAGTTAGATCACTTTCCTCGAGTCCCCCGTAGAACATGATCCCCGCAACCCTAACCCCAATCCCGCAACCCCGGTGAGGGGAGGGGGTTTGGGGGATGTGTTGATAGTTTTCTCTGAGTAAGTTTGCTTTTGGCAAAGTGTAATAGCTATGAAGGATTTTGGGACAAAGCATGCCAGATCAAGTTTTTCGAATGCAACTATGATTCGGAATTCCACTATTCGCTCTAACATTCACCAAATTCCTTCATCCTCCAGGACAGTGAGGATGTTTTTCTGCATGATTTTTCCTACAGATTGCATTAAAGCTCGTTCCGAGTTGATCATGCAGTATCGAGTCTCTGTTATCCGCGGCGATCGGGACCAGAGCTGCTGCAGATAACCGCGAAAATCGAGGATTATCACAAAATGAGGGACTTGTCCGTGAAAAGTGATGAAGGAGGCTGTATTTTGTAAGACTCGCCTTTTAAAACGCTTTCAAAATATCAGACAGAAATGTGTAATTATTAGTTCCCAACGAATACATTTTGCATCAAAGAGGCTATTTAGCCGAACTGGCCTTAGTATGAAACCACGTATCTCCATTGCGATGATTTAACATTTCATCTCATATTTTTTGTTTGCAAGAGAGACAAGCTTAATTTATAGCTTGACCTCAAGATAATATTCTACTGACAAGAGACAGGGCTGCCCGCCACAAGGACGGGAAGGGGAGGGGGAGGGGTAGCAAACGGAGATACGTGGTTTCGCACTTTGGTCGTGGATATCTATTCAGGGTGAGGGTGGCAAGATACGCAAAGAAGATATGAGACATCGAAGATATCCGTGAATTATTTCCGAAATATCACGAGCCTGTAAAATTCGTTGAATTTATGACATTTTTGTGGCACTGGGTATGCAACTCGCACTTGAAAGCAAGAAACCTTGATTATTGACTCCTTATTCCACATCAAAATTTCTCACATTTCATGAAATCTTGCAACCCTGTATTAAGAGGACTTTTTTTTATAGAAGTTTGCGCCACAGAATTGCAACGTTTATGCTGCCATGCTAGGGAAGAACGCCGTATGAGCCATCAGGCGTTGCCAAATTTCCTTTGGTAAATCACGAATTTTTGGGAAAATTTTTTGATATTTTTCTTCCAATTTTATCGGACAATTTTGCATGCAATTCAATCTAAAATATCTGAAAATTTCAAGGGAAAATTTGCTTAAATTGCGTCAAAAATACGTGTTTTATCGAGGGAAATTTGGCGCCTCTCGAATGTTCACACGGCGTTCTTCTTTAGCATGGCAGTATGGGTTGCAGTCATTCCATGCGTTTAAAGAAATTTTTTTTTTGAAGTTGAATAGATTGACCTTTCCTTCCAATCCATGATTAAAGTCAGGCTGGAAGAAACCGCGGATAATCGAAGCATGGATATTCGCGGGACTCTACCGCACATAGCATACTAAATGTAAAAATGAATCCCTGAATCGTCAACTTCAATATGTTTTCGGGGGAAAAAGTCTCAACATGAAAAACTGCAGGACTCCTTTAACAACCGGACATCGGTCAGTCCCAATGCGATCGCTCTAGGTACCAAATATGGCAATATTTTGAAATAAAGGAGCTACAATTAGATGTATACCTGCCGAAGAGAATCATAGATGAGTGGAAATGATGGGGTGTGCTCTAGAAAGCTGCATAAGAAACAATGTGAAAGTGGGCGTGATTTCCTTTGGGGAAATGGAAAAGCGGGATTTTACAATCTACCGAAAGGAACCAAGCGCCAACTGCATGCGGCACTGATGAGCCATTGGCATGTGACAAGAGCGTTGTGAACAGGGCTCATAAGTTAATGCGTCGGCTCCGTCGTCGCCGCTGACGTCACTGGCGCTTTATAGTTCCCTTTTATCATTACGGCCCTCGACTAAAGAGCACATCTCTTCTCTCCCACCTGTCTCTGGTACCTCTCAGCGGAAATACGTCCAATTTCTGATGCATTCATTAAAACACCTATCCTCGCAGGGGAACTGACAGCACATACATCGTTTTCAAAGTGAGCCAGTAGTTGTAATTCCCAATTGCAAAATGCAGTCCAATTGTATTCTACATTATACTGTTGGAGTTGTCACCTGCCGCTCCGAAGATTTCGAGTTTGCCCGTCAAAATATACGGTAATTTGAACCAAGCCTCCAAAAATTCACCGTGCGAGTCCCTCTCCCTTCTCTCCCCCCCCCCCCCCCATTCCATCCTTCCAGGCCACTTCCGAGAAAATGAAAAGCCTCAGGGTGAAAGAGAGGCTTACGAGAAGCGGCACACAGTTGCGAATGGTTTGTTCACCGTGTAGGTTTGTCCTGGCCGTTGTTTTTCGTTGGGACGAACATGAGATAAAAGCGATTGGGCACAGTTCTAGCATTTCACCTTTCAACACCATAGGTAGCCTCCTTTTCACGTTTCAATCAATCGTTTCGGAAGTTGGGCCTTTCTATCTCTCTCGATATCCTCTTTTTTCTGCCCTGCCCCTGTTCATCAGTTGTTCCCCCTGGTTAATTTCACGGGTCTCTGTCTAGTCGTGATCGCCTAACTTAAATTAAATAGGTCACGAATCCTCTTTCAAGGTCGGCAAAGCTATTGTCCCTTAGTTACGTTTTAATCGTCCTGTGACGTACCGGGGACAGCATCAGTCAAAACTGGACTACATTCTGCAATTAGGAGCTACAATCTCTCGCTCAGTTTAGAAACAACGTATGTACCATTAGCTCCTCTATGTAAATAGGTTTTACGGATAAGCCAGGAATCGCAGTTCCTAACTGCAAAATGAAGTCAATATTTTAGCGAGACCGATCAGAGAATCGGACTATCTACGCAATTTAGGAAATACTGAATAATACAATATTTCTGGCTCATCCATGAAAACTCCTGTGGGTGCACAGAAACTAATAACATACGTACATGGTACATAGTACATACGTTGTTTCTGATAACTGAGTCGGAGATTGTGGTTCCTAATTCCATATTGAATTCCTATTGACTATCCAGGAAATTCCAGCTTACGCTGCGATCTCAGAATGCATAGTATGAGTAGCCCATTTTATATTGGTTCATTGCTTCTCCACGTGAGACGGAAATGCACATACCTTTAAAATACAATCCTCTAAAATTTGAAATGATTGCCCTTTTATTTTGGCTTTTAATGTTCACATCGCCGCGATTTTAGGTTTATTCGCGTTTTGACCGCAGTTTTGCGAGCAAATACCAGATTTCATCTTCAATTTTGTGGATTGCGACTAATTTTCACGCTAACGCGCGCATGCCTGCCGTCCCTTTTTTAGACTTAAAAAAATATATTCTAAGATTATGAAGAGCAACATAATCAGAAGAAAAGGGTCTTAGCAAGTAGATCGCTCTCTATCTTTGAACGCTTAAAAATGAGTCCTCTAAAACTAAGGTAATTAGGTCCTAAGACCTCTTACCTAATTGTTTTGCATGTAATTTCGATCAGGCATATCTAGTAAATCGGGAAAGATATGGGTTTTTATAACAAACTATATTCTCAAGTGCATCGGTATTGGCTGAAAAATTGCCTCATGAAGTAAAGAAACAATAGAGAATAAAGCATAGGTCATTCTGTTTTGGAAGATGAAGCATGGATAAAGTACCAATTATTTTTGTTGGGTTTGGCAGCACTGGAGAATTAGACCGAGAACGTAGAAATACAGCTTTATCACTATTGGATTGGAGTGTTAAAAGGTATACCTTTCCTTTTCCCGTTAAAACTGAGGTCTTTGTATCGCTTTGACCTGGGCAGAACCGTGGCGGTCAGCAGTGGTCCAATCCCAGAGAGATGTCGGATATGAGATTTTTTTGCCAAAAATCCAAAATTTGATGCTTATTCTGTCACGTGAAAATTTTAAAGGGTACGTTTCATAAAAGTTTACACGAAGACACCAAGAAAAACCACTTTTAAACCTCCACTTACGTCCTTCCGTGTTAACGAAGATACAAGCGTTTAAGTTTCCACATATTGTCCGTCTTCTCCCATGGACTCTCCCCACTGTGCGGTTGAGAGGCCGAGCCGAACCTCTGACAGTATTTTGATTTCGACGCGCACCATTATTTTGTTGGGGTAGCACAGTCGGGACCTGGCGGGTTCTTTATTAGGGATGATAAAAAAAGAAAGGAAAAAAATCGAGGAGGGCATTTTTGACCATTTGAGGAAGGCGGGAAACAAATGTGAAATGTTGCCGAGGCTTTATGTCCCGGATTTTTTCAAAGGAAAGTGACGGTATCGTGAAAAAAGAATTCGTGCCGCCTGTTTTGGGAAAGAAATCAGCACCTTTTGTTTGGTTCCTTTTTTCCGGTCGTGTTGTTTATCGCCCGTTTCCAGTTGCATTTTCAATTAATCGATTGTCCTCAATTTTCCGCCTATTTTTAATTCTTGCAATACGGCGCTCTTCGCGAAAAACTCACCTTCTGAGCTACTTTATCGGCGGTTCCTAGCGTGAATGGATACCAAGAACATCAACATTAAATTCAGAGGCGGATCCAGCAATCTGGCATTACCGGATTGCCTCCATTTAAACCTATGCTAAATAATCGATTCTTGTCGGAGCATCTGGCCCCTCCAAGAATCGATACATTTCTATAGGTTTAAATGGAGAAGAGACAATGTTGCCAATTTGCCAGATCCTCCAATAATTATATTTTAAATCCATGCACATATGTCGATTATTGTAACCGTGGCGGCTGGCGACCGAGACGGATTCGGGAAGTTAGCAACACTGTTTTCTCTCTATTTAAATCTATGGTTAAGAATCGATTCTTGTAGGAGCACCGGCCCGACTGGCCTCCCAAAAACCGATTCTCTACCGTGGGTTTAAATCGAGAGGATACAGTGTTGATAACTTGCTAGATCCGCTTATGTAAGTAGGAGGGAATAGCTCTAGTATTAAACAGCATAAG